ATCTTACCCCAAGTTGAAAGTTTCATTAGTTCCATTCAAAGCTGTCATCATGTTTAAAGTAGGTACTGTGCAGTCTTCCGATAAGTGCCAGTTGATCCAAAATTGGTTTTAAAGGCTTTTACTGTATGCCAGTGGTGATCCATCAAGTCTAAAGGATCCTAATTTTCCATTTTGCATAGGAGATGCTGCATTTTTAGCACTTTGCTGCAAACACTCAAGTAGAGAGGGACAAAAGGCAATTCAGATGCTCAGCTTCATTTTGTATAACAACCAGCAGAAGGAGGAAAACCATTAAGCTTTCCCCACATAGTCTGTTGTGACAAAAGGATATTGCACATTTAGAAAGCATTTCCCCTCCTACTCTTCCCCCAACCCTGAAAGTTACCAGCACTTTTTTTTCCTTCCCTCCAACTGAACAGACACAAACAACAGCAACAGACGCTGCAACGCAAGCTCCAGCAATGCAAGGGAAATGTAACAGTGTAGATGGTAGGAATAGTGTTCCTCACTCTGGCTCCTTGAGGAACCTGAAATCTGGTAGACTAAGTCTAAAATGAGAGATGATCAGGCCCTATTTAACATATGTACAGTGTTTACACTCTGACACGCTTTTGAATTAAGTTCTATATGGAGCTGACATAATAGATGGTATCTGACAACATGGTTTTATGAAAGCCACATGGAGAGGTACTTCACAGTGCCCTGAATCTGTCAGATAACTCCTTCACAATAATGTTGGCCTCAAGCTTGAAATATGGTTCAAAAGTCACGAAAGTTGAGGTAATTACTCGAGTCTTTTCTCCTCTTTAAAACTGGCAACTCTATTTGTGGTTGAAATAGCTAGGCTGCTGACACAACTGTACTCATTTAGAAACCAAATATTTGTAGAATAAGTACATTTTTTTCAGAGAAAAATACTGTCACAATCAAGCCTACCATTTTCTCTTTTAAATAAAAACAGTTTTTGCATGTCTTTTGTGGCTGTGCCGACTGTAAAATGTTCTTGAAACATTCACTGCACACCACCAAAACCTTAAGGAGTTTTTCATTCCAATAATTAAAATGTAGGAAAAAAAGAGGAAAATTAATTTATCTTTAAATCCCTTTCAACAGCAAAGCCATCCTACTCAAGAGCTGCAGAGAGCTAACTAAGCTCCTTAATTCCCTCCTGTTTAACCCTCTCCTGAAGACTGATGTTCTAATGAGATATCATTAGAAGACTTTGTCCTTTGCCATGAAGCATTAGAAACGATTCCACAGAACAGTTCAGGATAAAACAGACATGTAACTCCTGTACAACTGGTTAACACAATGCAGCTTTGGAGTTTGTATACTTTTCTACAACAGGCAAGCTACTGAATGACAGGTCTGCCTCCAGGCAGGTCACAGGGATCAAAAAGACCCACCCAAAGAGAAGGAAACCTTGCTGTAACTGTTGGGAGAGCAGAAACCCAGACGCTGCAGTAGTTTATAAGTCTAGCACTTGGTTCAGCACTGCCGAATTTTTTTTTTTTCCTGTGGCTGCCTGCCAATGAACAAAAGATAATCTTGCACCTAACCAATCCAGACATTAAATGCACAGGAAACCTTATCTTCTGACTTATGACAGAAGATGACAAGCAGAGCTGGCGAAAATAAAGACAGAGTGCCCTAGGAGCCAAGGGCAGGAACTCTAAGTACAGCAGGATCTTTAACACCCAACCAACTATTCATCTTGGCAATAGCAGCTGATTCATCTGCTTTGCCAGCCACAGATGTCACATTGGGGAAAATCTCACTTGGACAGCATAACACAGAAAAGAAACAGAAGACCACACAATGTTCTTATTCATTCTATCGTGACACATATGAAAACAACATCTAAATCAAACCACATCCTACCTAAACAAATCCTCAGGTGGTTGTTTCTGTTTCAGATATGCAAAACTCGGTCAGTAACTACTCACCTTAAAATAATTTCTACGAACACAGTGTAGGTGTGTACATAAAACATGCTCTTAATAAAAAAAATCCTCTGGAATTCTTAAATTAAAGTTTAAAAACCTATGCAGAAAAAGAGGGAAACAAACAAAACCAAATCTAAACCAGATAAAAATGTGGCAAAAAGATTATTTCCCAACCACTTTTCAGCCATCAGGTTGAAACGCAGCAGCACCTTGATTTAAGCACACATCATGCAGTTAAGCACTGCAAAGGGCCAAAGCTAGATTTGAGAGGGAAGCCCTTCTGTGGCCATTCCTGGACTTAAATACAACATATTCAAGTGAAAAGCTCTGCTGTTTGTGTATGCAAAGCTCACCTCAGTTAAGTCTGTTTATAACAACATTCAAGTCTTGACTAATTTTATTTTAGTTAAATTACAACAGATTATTAAATTAAACTAAGACAGAGCTGCTGACACATATCCATCAGTACAAGAACTCAAACTCATTTACATGCAGGTTAACTGCAAGTACTTCATTTTATCTAAGTGACTCTACCTTAACAGTGATGTACACACCACACTCCATGAATAAGCTCTGCTGCAGTGTAATTTTGTTTTTCAAACAGCAGCCCAAGCAATCTGAAGAGTTTCACACAGAGCAAGTACAGCATCCAAACAGGAGGAAGACCTTAAAAATGTTAAAGCTTGTTCACTGGAGAGTTTCCCCATCACTGCATTTTCCAGTAACAAAGATGTTGTCAGAAATGACAATTTTTCGTGTCCCCTGATGATGCCTTGCTAGCATTTGGTTATAAGCCATAAAGCAGGAATAATTTCAGCCTGTCAGGAGTCTAGCTAATGCCCAGTTTCCCCCTAGAGAGAATTCCTGTCAAACGTAATGAGAGCTCCAAAGGCCCTTTCTACAACATAATGAGCACTTAGGCCATGCTGGTGATCAGCCAGCAAAAAGCATCAATTTGAGCCTGGCTACACCCTTGGGGGTAGACGTCACCAGTTAATAAGAATTATGATTACTATCTGTCAAAAGCCTCCTCAGAACTTATCGTTAGCAGTGGAAATTCAGAAGAATGTCATTGTTAGTTTTTTTGGGGGTTTTTTGGTTTTTTTTTTTTGTTTGTTTGGTTTTTTTTTTCCCTCTTGTTTTGGTTTTTTTCTTCCTGTAATCTAAGGCCACCTACATACTGAACTGCAACACCATTTGGCATCCTCACTGCAGGAATCTAAATCAATAGCCTTTAACATGAAGGTGCTACTTTTACCAGAAATTAGAATTACTTAACATGTAAAAGCATAGTATCTGAGACTCACATCCAGAGAAATGTATTTATACCTTCAAAAGCCTATTATTTTCTTAACAGCACGCACAGAGCAAGTGTGCACTACTCTCCCCAGCTACAACTAACACAAATATAATGCTCTGTCATAAATCTTAAAAGCTTCCGAAGTATCACCACCTACGGGGTACATAATTCTAATTGCCACACATACAGGACATTAAACCTTTATACATATGTTAAGGTCAAAGTGGGAACCTTAGTTCTCACCCACTTTAATCCTGTGGGTTTAATTGATTTTACCTAAAGTTAATTCCTAGTACACTAACTGAAATCACACATTCTCTTCAAAGAGCTCCTGAAAATAACATCCATTTTGCAGCAAATTATCTTCCTATACAGATACTGGCTTCCTCATAGGTTACAGTATGCCAAGAAATTGTTGAAGAGAAAAAATGCAGGGAAAAAAACCCTCAAAATCACAAAGCTATGAAAAGTCACCTCACAAAAAAACTGACATTCTTCTAAAACACAAGACACAAGAAAATTTGTTAGGCTACAGTACAAAAGCAAGTCAAATACTAAGCTTGCTGTTCCATCTGGTTATTTGGTTCATTATTTTAAAAAAAAAAAAAAGGTTGTCATAATACGACTTCTTTTAATGGCATTTTGAATTGAAACAAGCAAAAAACCCTCCAAAACCCTAAAGAGTACCTACCCAGATTTGGAGATAGAAAGCTATCATGGAATTACAATGCCATCCTACCAAATATGGCATTTTCAGGGGAAAACAAAACAAACAACAAAAAAAAATTCAAAGAGTTCAGAGTTACAAAAGCAAAACTCAACTCCGTAATTCACTTGCTTAATGAATGTCTTTGAATATACTGAAGATCTGAAGCCTGAACTAATCAATTTCTTCGCTGTGCCCTAGCCGGTCAGCCATGCTCTTTAATTTAATGAAACAAGAGTTTTAGATGAAATAGCACATACACATCAAGAAAGAATTGTATTGTTGCACTTTGAAATGTGTCCAACTGTGCAACTTCATCTAATGATAATTTTTTTAAGAGGCCATCGATTTCTGAAAGACTTATTGTACTAGCATCTTGATGAAAAAGTGAATGTCAGCATATCTACAGAATACTTACACCCTGCCATTAATGCTTTATTTGGCAGACAATGACTACTCAATTGAGGGTCCTCTGGGCTGTGCAATCATTTAGCTTTTCTTCTCTTATGAGGTCCTTAGTGTCTTGTTCCAGTTCAATACTCTTTTTATTCACCATTATAGTGGCCATAAGTGTGAATTTTATGGGAACTTGCAAACTCAGTCATAACTAGAGCTTTCCAAGTCACTAATCTCTTCATACCTTTACAAGGCAGGGATTTGAGTAACTATGACTACATATGCTACACAGACATGGGATCAGTTCTACATGTCAGCACCTCTACCAGTAACAAAACAAACAAACAAAGCAAAACCCAACCCAAAAAAACCCTCAAATTTATAAGTTACTGAATTTCATTTTTAAAACCACAGATACAAGATCTTTCCTATTTATGCCCAAGTCTTTCAGAACCAGTACCAAAAAAGGTACTGCTGCTTAACCTAATCTACACCTCATCTGACAGGAGGTAGGCAAAGGTCTACTAATCAGGCTACAAATCAGGCTATTGATTCAGACACGATACCTTCATCTGAGCACAAACAGCACAGCTACATATAAATGCACCAGACAGATTGCAGATTTTGCAGCTTAGAAAACAAAATGTCTTACCTGTTTGTGCATTTCAATGTTTAATCCATACGACATTTCATAGTACTGCAAATAAATGAACACATACATTATTTTCTTAAACTGACTTACATTGTATTAGGAGATATTTACTGAAACAGAGATAAATATACTTACCATCACATAATGCCTCTGCATTTCTGTCTTTTCGCTTGCCAGTTTCTCACATTCCAATTTAAGGCTACAAAATAGATCATGTTTTAATGTAACACATCATTTTTTTGGCATCTACCCGCCCTATTTGTATTTTGACAGAAGCTGCTAATTAAAAACCTCATAAACTGACTTTCAACATAGAAAGACTTAATCATACTTGAAATAAAAAGGCCAAAGAAGAAATTTAAAGAACATTTCACAGGTGCTGTAGGAGGCCTGAACTGTCTACAGAACCTAAACATATCGACTCTTCATACTTTGACAAAGAGCTGCTATTAAGTGCTGCAACTTGCAAGTGAGAATACGGTCTGAATTTCCCGTAAGTACTTCTCAGGAGTAAAAAGATAAAAATAGAGGCATTTCTTTCTAAACAGCATTTAGTAAATGACACCACTCACATTTACAATTACAACTTGAGTATAATTCTTACCTTAAATTCATTCTAGCAAATGTTACCTTGCCCAGTGCTTGAAAGCTGGTAATTCTGACTATCATTTACTGGCAAATTTCTTTTCATAAACAAAAGTTAAGTTGCATTTGCATGTCTCATCACAAACTGTGATATAACTCTGATTACTTTCACTGAGCCTCAATGTTTCCTTTTCTATCAAACTGATTTTTTTAATGATACTTGCAAGCAGCCCACGGAACAGGTAGCGTGCAAGCAGTACTTTTCACTCACAACTACAAAGCCAGATGTTTAGAGTTTACATTGTATTTTTTAAGCAATAAATGGCTTAAGAAAGTTAAAACTACAGTATCATAGGTAAAGGAAGAGGAAGCATAACTAGAACCAAGCAATTTCTGACTGGAAAACCCGTAAAGCTTTTACTTCACTCCAAATGTTCCAGGTGCACATTAGTACAAAATCAGTGAAGGTTAATGATCCTCGACACCAGATGACCAGGATCAAAAAGAACCTGTACTCTAAATCTCTGAAAGGACCTCAGCAGCAAGCACACACCCACAAAGAACTTCCGAAGGGCAGAGCAGCAACGAGGAGTGCATCCCACAACTTCCATGGATTATGGTAAACTTTGTGTTACTACTCTGAGTACTTGTGTGTTTTAACCGTCCTCCTTGGCTCTTAACCACAGGACGCTGGAATTTTATTAACTTTTGCATTAACACCACACACAAATGAGCAAACATGAGAAGTAACCTCCTTAACGCGCTGTGCCACAGAACTGGCGCAGGTTTTCCCGGGATACACTGAAGTGACCCCATACACACATACGGGTTCCCAAGACACACTGCACTTGTTCGAACGCGCAGAGGCGCCGAACGCTCCGGTTCGGACAGTTCAGGGGCCCGGGGCAGGGCTGTGTCCCAGGGCCGGCGCACCCGGAAGCCGCGCCGGGCCGCGCACCGGGGCTGCCCGCGCTCCCCCCGGTCGCTCGGCGGGGCTCTCCGCGAGCCGCACGCCACCGCCTGGGCGCGCCCGTTCGCTGCAGCCCCTGCCCGCGCTGCTCCGGGCCCCGCAGCGCCTGCTCCCGGGGCGGCCCGCCGGCGCTCACCTGTGGTACTGCGCCTGGAGGAACTGGAACTCTTCTTTGATGCGGTCCAGCGACTCCGGGATGGTGAATTTGAAAGGCTGGCCCGCAGCCTGGTGCGGGGTCTGGCGCGGCGGCGGCACGGGAGAAAGATGCACGTTCAGACACTGCGCGGCCGCCCCGCGAGCAAGAGGAGAGGACGCTGTCCATCGCGGCCGGGCCAGAGGGATGGAGAGAGCGCCCGGCCCGGCCCGACCCCGCCCCGGGGCGCTGCGCACTTGTTACCCACCTTCCCGTCCCTCATCTGCGGTGGGGCCGAGGTTAACCGCGCTCTCGCTCCGACCCACCCGCTCCTGCCGCCGCCGTCTACACGAAAGCGGGAAGTGCCGGCTCCTCCCGCCGACCCCCGCCGCGGAGGCACAGCCAGCCCCATTCTGTGCTCGGCGGATGCTGCCCGGCCCGGCGGCGACACCCCGCCGTCCTGCCCAAGGCGAGTAAGTTGCCCACGCAACAAAAGTACTGGGGGCCGCTCCGGCAGGCAGGACGAGCCGCTCGATCCCGGAGAGAATTAACTTGTGAGGGCGCCTTCCTTTCCCTCCCTCCCTCCCTCCCCCCCCGCCCCCCAGCTCCAGCCGAGCAAGCGAGCGGAGGTACGCTCCGCAGCGCCCTGCCCTCGCCCCGCGCACCGCGCCCGCGGAGCGGCGGCCCGAGCCGTACTTACGGGGTGCCGGCTCTGGGGGAACATGGCTCCGGCCGCGGCGGGTCTCCCTCGCAGCGCGGCTCTCGCGGCGAGACTCCCCGCCCTGTCCCGGCTTCACACCCGGTACGCCTAGGGGACAGGAGCGGCGACACCCGCCGACCGCCTTCCCTCCGCCGCCGCGGGCAGCAGCGGGGCGAGGCGCGGCTCAGTGCCCCCGCCGCGGGGACATTCCCCAGCCGCGGCGTCCTTTGTTGCTGTTGTTCCAAGGAGGGCTGAAGGTGGCCAGGAAAGGCGTACGGGTCGCGCTTGGGACGGTCACCAGCGCCCCGCGCTCTTTGGGCTGCGCTTCGACCGGCGGGCGGCGCCCGCAAGGCCCGGGCACGGCGGGACGGGACCCGACGGGGCGCAGCCGGGAGGCCACAGCCGCCCCTCAGAGGCGGCGAATAATCCCCTTCACGGACTCGCAAGTGGTAGACGCGATTGTAAGGCCGGAAATCCCAGGCGGAGTAGACTCCTCTCTCCTCTTCTGCCCCTTGTCAAAAGGGGAAAATCTAGCCGGAGGGAGCGGATCGCAGTATCCGTGGCCGCACCGTCGCAAGCCGAGGGGGGCGACAGAAAGTCTCCAGGCAGGGACGCGTTGGTCGCAGGCGTCGGCGCAGGGGCCAAACCACCGGCAAGACAGAGCGATGAACAAGGGAGGAAGGCAGGAGGAGGAGGAAGGAGGCGGGCGGGGGCTCTTGCACAGCCGTCGCCGATCGGAGCAGCTCCAATAGCACATGCACGAAACGCTGGAGGGCAGAGGAAAGGGTACCACACACGCAGCACAGACTCTTCCGTTAGTTGCAGAGAAGTCCCCAGGACAAAAGGAAAGCAAACCCCTTAAGATGCTCGCTGGCCTCAGCGTCCAGGCAACCAGCCCCGTTGGGGAAGATTTAAAAAAAATAAAATAGAGATGAAAGCGTCCGTTTGAGGTTTAAATCAGACGGGAAGCTCCTTCGTGCAACAGCACCACTACAGCCTCTTACAGGCGGGCGCGGATCTGGGAGCTGCGCGTCTCACCAGAGCCCTCCGAGCGCGATACATCGCGGCGACATCAGCAGCATCATCCTCATCCTCGCTCTCCTCCGCGGCGGCCCGCCGCTCCTCGTCGACCCGGGATATAAAGTTCCCCCCAGCTGAAAAATCCGAACCCAAGCGCAAGGGAACACCACCGGCTTCCTCTGCCCCGTCCCCTCCGCGCCGGCCAAGGGCAAGGGGGAGCCGAGGCGGCGGCCTGGCGGGCGGCGCTCGGCGGGACCTGAGCGCGGCTGCGGCCGACCTGGACACGCCGCGCTCGCCCGCGCCGCTTACATTAGCACGCGGTTTCACACTCCTCCGGCTAACCAGCCGCGCGGCCCCGCCCACGCCGCCGCGCGGGGGGGGCGCCCGCCCAATCGCCGGCCCCGCCGCCAACGTGGGCCCGTGACGCGCCGCGGCCCCGCGAACCAATGGCACGCGCCGGAGTCGCGCCGCCTCTCGGCTTTGGCTGGGGAGCGTTTGTGTGGCGGAGCGGCGCAAGCGCTCGGAGCCGGCCAATGGGAGCGCGCGGGGCGCGCGGCGCCGCGGGGGGGCGGGGAAGGTCGGCGGGAAGGAGAGCGGGAGGCCGAGCTGTCAATCAAAGTAACGTGGGGTCCGCGCGGGCGGGCGGGCGGGGCTGCGGCGGCGGGCGCGCGGCGCCTGCGCGCGGCGCCTCTGCCTCCGCCGGAGCCGCCGGGCGGCCCCGTCCGGCACAGGCAGCGGCCCCGCACACACCGCACACCGCACAGGGAACCGCACCGTGCACAGCGCACAGGGAACCGCACCGTGCATACCGCACATCGCACCGCGCACCGCACAGAGCACCGCACACCACTCCGCACAGGGCACACCGCATACCGCACCGTGCACACCGCACAGGGCACACCGCACCGTGCACACTGCACACCGCACACCGCACAGGGCACACCGCACAGGGCACACCGCACCGTGCGCACTGCACACCGCACAGGGCACACCGCACAGGGCACACTGCACACCGCACAGGGCACACCTCACAGCGGGCCCGCACACCGCACAGGGCACACCTCACACCGCCCCGCACACCGCCCGCAGCCCGCCCCGGCTCCGCACGGCACGGCGACGCGCGCTCAGAGCGGCGGGCGGGTCGGGCGCACGGTCCCGCCTCGCCCGCCAGACGACGGCGGCGGGGCCGTGGCACCTGCTGACAGCGCGCCACGGAAACGCCGAGGTGCGGAGGGATAAGCCCTCCCACGTGCTTGTGCGGCTCGGGGCACGCCAATTGCTGTGCTGGTTGGAATGACCCTCTGATAAGACGGAAGTTGTCCTTTGGGTAAAACTGGCTTCTTTTTAAGAGGGGCTTGATAGAGGAAAGCTGTCAATAACTTTGGTTTATAGGCCCACTTGAGATAGATGAGGGTCAAACAAATTCCACAGACTGTGTGTGCTTGCTGAGGAGATGACAAATGGTGACATAGCTGGCAGTGGGAAGTACACTTCAAAACATATCCTCCATAAGCAAGCACCTTATTCATAGCAGAATTCCACAATGAAGTGTGAAATACCTTAACTTAAAACATTTGCTTAAAACTTAAATAAAACACTGCCTTAGACTTAAAACACTGCCTTAATACACACTTTTCCTGTTGGTAAATACTTGTGTGCTGCCTAAAAAGAGGTCTTGGAATGCTGAACCGCATCATTTAAACATGGTAGGGGTAATGTTGCAGTCTGCATTTTCCTCATAATTCCCCACTAGTCTTTACTAGATACAGATTACTTCCTTAGAATTGTATTGTACTTCATCTTGAGTCCTAAAGAAAGAGCAGTCTTTGTTTTATATTTGATAGGAAATTTAATGTTTTTGAATATCAAAGCTTTACTCATTCGGAGTGATAATTTCCCATTATCATTCCCAAAATATTCTGTATTTTTACTTTAAAACCTCCAACACAAAAGGGAGTGAAACCTCCTCAGTCTTCTGCAGTGAAAAGTTTGGACTTCATTCCCGGACTGCAGAGTTTTGTCAATGAGCAATGATACATCTGTGTCTCTGTGCACCTATAGGTACATATAGGTGTATAGGAACACACGTGTGTTTCTGTTTATGTTCATGGTGCATATGTGCGTGCATCCTGGTGAACATATAAATAAACGTGGGCTTTTACTGGTTTCTAAGAGATGACACAAAATACCCTCGATAGTGAGCTTTGATAGATTGTGGTTCCCAGGACGGGAATGTAAACATGTCTGGTATTCCACCTGCATAAGCAAACCTTAAAATCTTGCATTCTGTTCCCAGCTCTTCCCTTGTTGTCTTGGACTAGCCAGCTCGCTGCTCTGTTCGTGGCAATGGAAAGCTTAATTACTTAATGCTTATTAAAGTACTTAGATCTTCAGATGAAAGGTGCCATAAAAATGCAAACCATGATTATATACTTTGTGTGTGTACCTAGTAGCTATGGAGTCTATAATAATGTAACACTTACCTCACTTTTGTTGTACTTTGCTTAACCTGCTGGCACAAGTTGTTAATGAGATATTGACAGATATGACATTAAAACAACACTGTGTTTTGGAACATAAACAAAAGGGGTTTGGTTTTTTTTCAATTGCTCACCTACATGAAAACTTGAAATGTCTCGTTACCTGTATTTGTCAACATTAAAACGTCCAAGGCATGTTTTAACAGAGAGAGAAAAGCTCTGTTTTCCTGGTTCTTATTAGTAAGTGCTTTTAACCTACTTTGATTCTGGAATCAGACACTTAAGGGCATTTTGAATCTTACTCATTGTATTTGAGATAGAAGAGCTGTACAAGCAGAAGTAGAATCAAATGTGCTGGGTTTTTTTCAAATGAGAGCTACTGACATTGCATAGCAGGAATAACAACCAACATGATCTGATGTTTAACTAATTATAATGCATCATCACTGGCTCATTAATGCATAAAAATACTATTTTTGTTGGATGGGCATAAATCTGTATGAATTCCAGGAAACTGAACATTCTCATTCCATGGCAATATTCACTATTTACACCATAGAAAGATAACAAAATACGGCTAGGCATGTTGTATTCAAGTAGGTAGCATTTTATACCAGATCATTCTGCCACAATGCTTTATGTACTCTACACAATTGTCCAACTGGATTAAAAATACTTGTTTTATATGTCTGTCTCGTGTTTCAAAACCAAAAATATCTCCTTCAGTATTAACCCCCCAACCACCCTGTCCAGTCACCCATTTTACTCTGTTGCTTGAAGTTAGTTGTTTTTTACTGTAAAACTTTTAGTGTCATCTTCCTACCTCATAAAGCAAAGGGCCTAATCCTAAACTGGCTACTCAAAATTCACACTGGAAGCGGTTGGAGCTTTGGGTGAAAAAAAAGCACACTTGGGTCCAAAATGTAGGTTAAATGTACTGGAAGGGTTTCAGAGGTAGCATCCATTCTTTAGTGAAACCATAATGTTCTGTTTAATGCACTGTATTATTTTTTTCTCCAGTGTTCACAGTACTTTTTATGAGCAATATTTTTTAACTTTGTGCAAACTGGCACATAAAGCAAAGATGTTGATGATGTTAATCAGTAGGTGTTAGCTGCAGGTGGGCAGTAAACAATTTAGTGTGATTTGTCCCACTCTTCTACTCTCTATGTTGGGAGAGCAAGCCAATAGAGGAAGCAATTCTAGAATTCAGTAGAGTTTACGCTTTCAAAGTTTTAGATAGATCACTGGATTTTCAACTGAAAGAGAAACGTGCATGTGTTAATGTGCATGGGGGTTGTTCTATTTGGTTTTTTTTGTTTTAGGGTTTGGTTTGTTTGTTTTTTAATGTGGTGCAGGTGAAATAGAAAAAAACCCTGAATCATACAGTACATGTGGTACAGTAGTGACTGTCTGCACAGTTGAGAGAATAGTAATTATTATAAGGACAAGAAAAACAGTATCGCTTTTTAAATATTCATTTATTTGTGAAGTGCAAATGATGTGAACAGGGTAAAGCAATTACATTTCTAATTATTTGCTGTCTTTTGGCTAATAGCCATTGCATACCCTCTTAGTAATTTGATTTCTTTTTAATTAGTAGCTTTCCTTGTAGGCAAAAATGTTCAAAAAGTTGCACTAGGTCATTTTACCATTATGACTGTATTCACTTCCCCCATTCCTTCACCCATAAAAAATCCCTGAGCTGAATTTTAAAAAAAAACCAAGTCAGTAGCAGATCATGCAGCAGTAAAACCTCAAATA